ATATATATATATACACACACACACATATTGATTTTGTTTTTAATTAAATAGGGGGGGTAGGGACCCCCTGAGCCCCATGTAGCTCCGTCCCTGCCGGCGGTGCGGTGAAGGAAAGGGATGGCCGGGAAAAAAAAAAGTACATGACTGAGGAGAGGAGTTCATGATTCCTTCATATATTTTTTTAAAATGGAGTTTGGGGTTTTTTCTGAAAATTAGATAAATTATAGGGATCAATTTGTAATTTTAAAACAATTGAGTTACAAACTAATATGATTGCTGATTAATTATAAAGTTACAAAATATCTATTAAATATAGAATATTGTTAAATAATTTTAACAATATATATATGGTTGTTCAATTTAAATTTTCATAAATTGTATTATTAGTATTTTATATTTTTCTTAATTGAATAGAACATTCCTAATCATTTTCCATTGATAGCAAAACATTCAAATTATTTTCTTTTTTTCCCTTACAATCGTATATATTTTTGTTTACTTTATAAAAAGTTTGTCACGTTCCTAATCAATGGTTGCATACTATACATATATTTTTTTTTTTACTTCTTAAAAACTCTATAATGACATGATTGGTATAATGAAATGTAACTTGATAGGAATTGAATGTGTTGAAGAACAAAATGAATATGAAAAAGGAAAAAAAAAAAGTTTTTCCATTGATGTGTTTGGTATGCAAAAGAAATAAAACCTTAATGGAATGACATTCTCATTCTATATTACCATTTGTCACTATTTTATAGAAAAAATAAATATGTACATTAATGTTATTTTTTAATTATGATAATATTTTATAAAAATATATTATATTTTAATAAATATATTTTCGTATTGTTACACTCATATATATTATAAATAAATTAGTAATTTGTGTATACATATGTATTAACTAATACAAATATCACATTACATAGACCCTAAAAGCATGGCGAATATAATTCTTTATATTTTAGTTCAATTTATGAATAAATATATAATATATATGATGTATAAAAATAAAATAATATCTTTTTACATATTTATAAATGCATTTTTTCAGTTTTATTTTTATATAAGATGGCTTGGCATGTGCGTACAAGGCCCCGGTGAGAAGGGTAGAAACATTAGAATTAAGAACGCAAGTTAAAAGGGGAGTGTAAGCTTAAAAAAATTTGGATGGAAAATGATAGCACTCCGACACTCCGACCCGGTTCTCCTTCGATCCTCCACCGCGTGAGCTCCTTAAGACCTGCAAAGGACCTCCCAGCAGTAAACCTCGGACGCTCAAGTCAGTAAAGGGTAGAGGAAAACTATATGTAAGTGTGAGTAGTATTAGGGTTTTTAGAGTGTGATTAACCTTACCTCCTCTTCCAACTTACCTATTTACATGTAATTGCTAGTTTTTTCCCCCCGCTTCGCATTCTGTCCATTAGATCACTTGTCTCCTCCTGATCTAGACGCTCCACGTATCCTTTATAGTTTATACACTACTGCTCATAGTTGCCTTATCTGCTCGGTCATCTTCTCGGTTCATTAAGACCAACTATCTGCTTGGTCATCTGCTCGGTCCACTAAGACTAACTATCCGCTCGATCATCTGGTCGGTCTATTAAGACCATATGCTCGGTCTATCAAGATGAACTTTATGCTCAGTCATCTGCTCGATCTGTCAAGATCAACTATCTGCTCGGTCATCGATGTAAGTCGGGTTATGGTTTACCGAACAACCCTCATGTGCTATATCGTTTGATAATTGTACCAATCTAGTCGTGAACCGGGCAATGTTCAACTGGGTTACTGAGCCGTTCTTATGTGCTACATCATATAAAATAAAAAAC